GAACTTGCAGCTTTACAACAACAACAAAACCTACTGAAAATACTGGCTGAAAAACAGGAACAATTACGTGCTCTTCAAGGTAGACAGGATGCTCTGGTAGCTATGCATAAAGAAGCAGAGAAGAAACTACATATAGCACAAAATAAAGAGAACAAAGGTCAGTTTAAATATCTCAATACTACATGTTTCTGACTAAAATGGATATCGTAGAGTTCTGTCTAATTTCTATTAAATCAGTTGACATTGTCAAAATTCCTTGAAACACAAGTCTTCTTGATTATGTAAAGCTGGGAAATTTTGAAGATCTGGTCAGAAACAGATGTGAAAAAAGTAATTGCTCTACATTGTCCTGAAACACTTTATATGATAAAATGTAAAGAACATAAGTCTTACGAATTAAGGTAGGACTATAGGCTTACCTGCAGAACAACCATAGTACGATTAATCTTCCATATTTTTTTCAGCTAAAGCAGCAGTAAAAACAGCATCTGAAGCTGTACGTCATGCCAGTAATAGTAATCCTAATTTAACACCCACTGATGATGTAGAAGAGGACCCTGAAGCAGAGTTATCATCTACCCAAACTCAACTAGAACAACTTGTGAGGATGAAAAACAGACTTGAAATGTTAAAAAATGCCTCCACAGAACTGGTAAGATTATGTTATTTTGCTCCTCAAGTATGTTGGTTTCTGAGTTATTGCCCTTGACTTATAAAAAATACGTTAAATTTGCCTTGTATGCATGCTAAAAGCTAAAAATTGTATCTGATCTTGATGAAGCTTAGTATGCTTGTAGATATTGATCAGACCTCAGTCAAGTTCGAAATTGGTAATAATCAGATCAACGGTTTCAGTTGTTGCCCTTGACTTAATAACAATGTGTTAGATTTGCTTTGTTTGCCTGATGAAGGCTACAATCCCCTCTTGATGAAATTCAGTATGCATGTATATAATGATGAGATTTCGGTCAAGCTCGAAATTAGTAATAATTGGATGAATGATTTCAGGGTTATTGCCCTTGACTTAGTAAAAACACGTCAAATTTGGCTCTTGTAGGCACTCTATAGACTACAGTTTTTATCCGATCTTGATGAAACTTGAAAATATATCGATGAGATGTAGTTATGATAGAGGCTACAGTTTTTATCTGATCTCGATGAATCTTGGTATGCATGTACATTTTGATGAGATCTCGAGCTAAAAATGGTAATAATTGGATGAATTATTTTGGAGTTATTGCCCTTGAATTAAATCAATGTGTCTAATTTGGCTTGTAGGCACAATAGAGGCTACATGGTTTATCTGATAACGATGAAACTTGGTATGCATGTATAGATGGACAAGATCTCAGTCAAGTTTGAATTGCTAACAATCGGATGAAACTGTTATTGCCCTTGAATTGAAAATGC